TTTTGACAAATTTTAATTAGTATTTAAGTCTAATAACAATTAAATTGTATTATTCAAATGAATAAAATTTCTATCATCACAATAAATATGTCAAAATTTATCTTTTTTCTCTTTTTCTTTTGGTATCAATTTAATCAAAAAATGATTGATTTTAAAATTTTATTAAAATTATTGCTAAACATTTTTTGATGAAATGATGCAAATTTTGCCAAAAATTGCATAACAGTTAAAATTTTTGAAACATTCAAAAAGTGAAAAAAAGCCGTGGATAAAATATATTTTTATATAAAAAATATATTTTTTCATGTTAGCAAAAAAAAATAAAAAAATAAATGAAAAAATGAAAATTAAAGATAAAAATGATTAATAAACAGAAAAGAAAGTTGAAAATTTTCAATAGTTATTTGTTTGTGAAAAAAAGCGAAGAGAATTTAACAAATTATTCAATTTAAAAATTTAAAACAAATAGTTTAATGATGATAGCTAGTGAAAAAAAAAAAAAAAAAAAAAAAACGAAGCTTAAGCTTATTTTATTGCTACAATTGATCATTTACTAGTAAAATATTCAATTATTTCATTTTTCAGCAAAAAACAAAAAAAAAAAAAAAAGGAAAAATTATCGATATTTCCAATAAGATATAAAAGAAAAAAAAAACTTTTCGTAAATTTATCTTTGAAAATTTTGAAAAGAAAATTAACAATTTAATTCAATGATAAAATAGAAATTTAAGAAAAATAGCAATTAAAAAAGAAAAAATATAAACTAATACGAGGATTAGTGTAATAATTATGTTAGTGTAATAACATTATCACGATTTTATCATGATTATAGTTATGATCATATTTACTATTATCATATCCATCTATATTTTGCTATCTTATTATCTTGTCAACAAGTAATCAAATAAATAAATCAATTTTATTAATAATCAATCAACTAATGAATGATGAATCATAATTAGTTTATTGATAATTAATTAATTAATTTATTTGGTGAGCAGTTAAACGAATGATAAATTAATTTTTGTTATTAATTAACAAATTCATTCAAATAATTAATAAACTAAAAAATGAATTTTGCTAGCAATTCAAGTGATTGGCTAACTAATCTTATCAGAAAATGGTATGCATCTTATCAGTTGCAACTATGATAAGAGATAAATTTTAAAGAAATGAAATTATCTTTCTTTTTTGCAGAATGTGGAAATATTAATGCATTTGCAAATAGCCAAGTGCTTTTAACAGAAATGAAAAATTTAATAAATAGATGGTGTTAAATTAGTGGAAATAGTACACCGGAAAATGCTACCGGATTGAAATTCAGGTCAATGTCATTTTGTAATTGATACGAACAGCCAATAATCATATTGATTTCATTGATTGAATTAAAATTAAATGACATTGAGGGGAAAAAAAATGTAAAAAACTTTTTGAGAATTAATAAAATTTTAAAGCTTGCATGTAATTAAGAATTACCTAAAAAATTACCCGATTATTTTAACTTTCGTATTAAAGTAAACTTAAAGTAAAGCTAGCAAAAAAGAAAGAGCAAAGGAATTAAAATATTAACTAAAATTTTGCAAATATCTTCCAATCAAGGAAAAAAAAAACAAATTTTAATTGAACTAAATCCAATTGAAATTATAATTCTAGTTGAGATGCAATCAAATAAAGTGAAATCTATTTAATATTTTATAAACTTCGCATAAAACTTCCAAATTTTAAATTACCAGTAATTAAAGTTGGTAATATAAACAACAACAAGACCAGTCAAAAAATAAAAAAATAAAAAAAGTTAGCATTTAATTAGGAATTATTTAATTATCACTTAATTGTTTTGAGTTATTTAAATATGATCAAATATGAAAAAAAAAAAAAAAAAAAAAAATGAAATTTGAAACCAATGTTACGGTTTTGGGAAATGAAATCAGAATGATTTAATAATAAAACTGAAAAGAATTCACAAATAAATTGCAGTAATTATTGCAGCAATTTAAAAAGAAAAAAATTTTAATTGAATAATTTGTTTAATTAGCATAAATATTGGATTTTTATCAAAATTATATTCAATTTTACAAAGTAAAATAATAATGTAAAATCTTTTTTTCTTTCATTTACTACTGTAACAATTTAATAGTTTTTGTATCAAAAAACGAAAATCAAAAATTTTAACAAATAATTTTATGTTTAAAATTATCTTAAACAATTCCAAATTCAAGATAGCAAAATTTAAAATTAAAATAATAAATGAAAAAAGTATGATAATAACAACGAAATGAAAGATTATTATTTAATTACATCAACATTTTCAATGCTTCAAAACAATGTCAATAAAAAAAGATATTAAATTTTTCTTAAAAGATACGCTCTCCTTTTTTCTCTGAATAACATTATAAAAATTTCAGAAAGAATTAATTAATTAATTTTTTCTTTATCCAAATATTAATAATAAAATAATATGAATAATAGCAAAAACATGAATATTAATAATAATAATAACAGTAATAATAATACAAAAGAATAATAATGAATAATGAAAGTAAATAAATGATAAAAGATAATCGGAAACTATAATTGGAATCTTTTGAATTTTCAATTAATTAATTTTTTTTTTCATCCCTCAAAATTATTATTGCAAAGTTTTTAAGGAAATAATAGAGCCGCAAATTGAAACGTTTAAAATTTGCTTTTTAAAAATTAAAAAAAAAAAAGAAAAAGACGGAAAGGAAAAATTTGATTATTATACTGCAATTGAAGCCTTTGCATTAAATAAAGTAAAATAAAGTAAAAAATAATTGTTACTTTCATATGGAAATTCTTCTTTTTGGTAAATTATCCACAAAATAAAAATGAAAAATAAGTTAGAAATGAAATATTTAAAAATAATTTAGGAAAAAACATTGTTATTTTAAAATTTTATTGTTGTTTTTAAAATGTCATATGATAGAATTTTTGTTTTTTATGAGATCATTTCAAACTAACTTACAATTTCATTTAATAGCAATTTTACAACTCGCATTTTGTCCCTTACAAATTAAAAATATCAAATTAAATAAAATTGAAAATTTCAAAATTAAAAATATATAGCATAAGTTAATATAAGAATTGAAAATAAAAGAAAAAAATGAAATAAGAAATGAAAAGTTTTTATAGATTTTTTGAAAAAAAGAAAAACTTTTTATAGATTTTGAAAAAGAGAAAAAAATTTTCCAAATTAAAAAACAAAAATTAAAAAAAAAAACATTTTATTTCTTTCTGATAATTTTTTCAAATTTTTGAAAGATTTTTTCAATTTATAACCAAAAATTAAAAATTATTTACAAAAAATTAATCAAAACAATAAAAAAATGTTTTTATGCATTTTAATGTTTTGTATGAAAAAAAAAAGCAAAATAATAATGAAAAAGAAATTTTTTTCTTTTTTTCCCAACAAATTTTTTTTAATGAAATATTGCGCAACGTATTGGTTTTATCTGCCACAACTATTAATTCTTAATTTGAAATTTAAATTTTAATCTTTTTTTTTTTAAAAAAAATGATGCTTGTTTTTTTTATCTTTTCCTTACTTTCTTCTATATACATTAACTGTACTAAATAAATTTCGATATTGCGATCAAATAATTAAATTATTAAAAAATATTATCAGAATAAATTTTTGAGAATTAAATGATAATGTAAAATGTAAGATTGTTAATTATATTACAGACGAATGTTGCCATATTGATTTATTATTTGTTTAAATTAATTCCTCAAAATTCCTGATCGCTATTCGAAATATATTACTGATAATTTAGGATGATAAAATAAAATGCCTTATCATCTATCATTTTATTATTAGACTAAGGCTATTTTTCTCAATTAAGCATAACATTCATTTTATTCCCTCTTCATTTTTTTTTTTTTAATGAAATTTTTATTTCAAATGAGGAAAAACAAACTTCCCCACTTCAAAATTTCATTTTTTTAATTCAATAAAAGATAATTTTTAAATTGATGTCATTCATAATAATTTTGAACGTAAAAGATTCTCAGCAATTTTTTGATATATTAATTATTACATTATTAGGATTAATATTATTTATGTTATTAGAATTAATATCATATTTAGTAATTTTAGGAAGAAAAAATTGTTAGCGATGTGATTATTTCATTTCTTTTCTATTTTATTTAAAACTTGTAAAATATAAATTTTTTTTTTTTTTTAATTTTCTTTGATTATTTTCAATCAACAAATTCCCTTGTGTTATTATGGTGTAGAATTGGGAATATTTTTGAGCGGAAAGTGAATATAATGTAAGAATTATGAATGGCGCTAATGACATATTTACGTAGTGCACTTTCGATAGCATATTTTGATCTTTTTTTTTTGTATTGTTTATTAATTCTCCTAAATATATTCGATTATTTAGTTAACAAAAATAAAGTAATATTAAAGTGAAAAAGTAAAATTATTGAACAAAACTGCATTTATTTCTTGTTTTTTTTTCTTGTACGCTTTAAAAAAAAAATCAAAAATAATAGCTTAATTTCAAAAAGTAGCAAAATAATAAGAAATCCTGAACAACTAACAACGAGATGATAATCTGAGATGATAATATAAATATATTCTAGCAATTACATAAATTATCCTAAAATAGAAGATGCATAAATTATTTGAAGTAGAAAATGATAAAATAAAACATTCAATTGCTTATGAATAAACAATATAAAAATTGTTTTAAAAAAAGTTTTAATTTCAATGAAACTATAATTCACTAGTTATTTCAAATTATTTAGTAGACTAAATTTCAATTCACTCTTCCATCAAAGCAAAAATTTGTCATTTATCATTCAAAAATATGAAACAACATATTAAATTATTCTTTCTTTTAATTACAAATCTCGAAGAAAGTTAAAAATTCTCGATGATAAAAAGTAAAATGAATTATGCTTAAAGCAAGTAACCAGCAATTCTATCCCCCAAAATTTATATTGTTAAATTACAAATAGTAATTGAGATTTCAATTTGATGGTTTGGATTTAAGCACACAAAGATGTCGAAGCGTTGGTCGTCCATGAGGACAATTCTGAAATGTCACAAAAATTTGCATTATGTCGGATATATGCATAATTAGTTTGATTCATGTTGTCTTATTTATGAAGCAAGTTTGAACATAATAAATCAATTTCAATTATTTCAATTAGCATAAACATTTCTCAAATCATTGCATCAATGTTATAGCAAAATTATTTGAACATTTAGTGTAGGATGTGATTATCAATATATTTGAGATACAATCAAGTCTTGAAATTTAGTTACAATTTAATTCCTTGTAATTATTTGTTAAAATATTATAATGTATAAAGGTTGCTAATACATACGAATGTTGATGAAATTTAACAATTTAAAATTATTTTCCATCAGTTCGAAATTTCGTCTAAGTTTGCATAAATTTTCAAATTCATAAACAATGAATGACTGTTGAAAACAACTATTTAGCAATTATTTATGCTAGATATCTCTTCACTAAAAAAAAAGTACAAACAACAGAAAATTTACCCATGGATGATCAAGTGTTCCAAGATGACGAACAATCTAAAAGAAAAAAGAGAACAAAAATAAAGCATAAAATGACAAAAATAGAAATAAAAATTTGAATAAATTTAAAAAGTAACGATTTGCGGAATAAATATGAGTAATATTTATGTGATGAAAAAGAAAAAAGATCATCAATTGTCATAACATTTGAGAAATAAATTATAATGACATTCCTGGTATCATCAATTTTACTAGATATCTGATATAGCAGTAAAATAGTTATAGTGAAGTATTTGAAGAATAAATTGTGAAAAAAAATACCTAATTAAATTAACCATTATATAAGAAAAATAAATTAATTAAATTAAATATTATTATTAAAGAAGTAAACTATTCGATACATTGATAACAAACTGATAAAATGAGTAAAGTAACATACCTTTTGCATTTGTATCATTGTTAATGAGCTACCAATCATAACTGACTTACGACAAGCACGTGACGCAAAAAGTTTCCGCAATTTTGCTGGTCGATACATCATTCCTGGGAAATCGCACAATACCGAAAGCATTTCATCAATATCTTTAAAAAAAAGAGAAAAATCAATTACAAGAAATTTGCAAATATGGGAGATATGTTCAGAGAGATATTTCATGCAGTAATAAATGAATAATATTTCATTTATACTAACAATTCTTTTTATAGTTTGAAAAAAAGTAAAAAGATATCTCATATTTTTTAATACATAAATTTCATAACTTTTTCTTAATACACAGACAAAGTTGTGTCGCTTAGGTTATCTCATATAAAGTTTTAATCCTTATCTTACACGAACAAAAAGAAAGAGAGAAAGAGAGAGAGAGAGAGAGGGAAAGACACAAATAATCTCTTCTCTGTCACAGCAAAAAACCTCTCTGAAGCTCCAATATTTACATAACATAAAATAAGTTAAGTAAAAATAATAATAATATAATTGAGAAACACATAAGATGATTGCCAATAAATTGATCGGAAATATTTTCTTCCATAGCTTCTCATCAAATTGGATAAGAATGGAATTTATTGCTTTTTCTCTTAAAATATTAAACCTTGAAAGGAAGGAAAAAAAACTTCACACCTGATATACTAAATTGCCAACTTTGTAAAACTGGTATTGCGGTTAGTAATGCACGCTTGCCAACAAGTCCTATAAAAAAAAAAACTTTCAAAATCATAAGATAATATCACAAGATTAACAAATTCATAATTTTTGATAGAAAAAAAGTGTAATTTTAAAAAACGAAGTGGAAGTAAACAAATTTAAAATTAAATTTGAAGTATTTGCATTCAAAAACACAGTTAGAAAATTTCGATAACTTTGATAGGGATAATAAGCTGAAGGAATTATATTTAATGAACAGTTAACAATTAGAATATACCTTCATCATCAAATTGAAATTCAAATCCATTGTAATTGAATATATCAATATTATCGCGTAATATTGCTTCCTTCACTACTCCAAGATCCAAGACACGTGGACTGAAATTAATTAATTCATGAGTTTAAATTATATAATTAAAAAAAAGAGAAATTATATCTGTGTGATATAAACATTTTAAAAGTTCATCTAGTAAGCAAAGATACTTAGATACTTTTATAGAATTATATACATGATACAATGATAAAGCAATAGAATTATTAGCTAATACAAGCTTCCATCAAACAAAGTTCCCTTTTCAAAATATTTGAAAAAAAAAAAGTCCAATATACTTAAAATATTTGAAAAAAATAAATAAAATTTTAATAATTGCCTGAGTAAATGTTGCGTTTGTATACGTGCTTTTTTTTGAAATCGTTCAAAATTATATTTCTCATCGCTAGCATGTTGATCAATAATAAAGAGATCATCATTTAGTCGTACAATAATAAAACCTTTATTAAACTGTCCCAATATTTCCATACATTCAAAATCTTTTTTCCTAATAAAAATTTAATGATTATATAATTATCATTAACTTATTAAATTAATTAGTAAAAGAGTCTTTCAAGCATTCATTAAATATGATTGAAATATAATTGAGTAAAAAAAAAAAGAAGAAAAAAAAAAACTAACGTGATATAAGCAGCTAATTCATTTTCTGCTATTTCTGGATTATCAACACGAAATTCTGTACGTGATTCTAATATTCTTTCATTATCATCACAAATATTTGACATAACTTTTGACGTTTTAAGATGTAACTATAATAAGAATTCATTTGAGGTACATACAGCTAAATATGCAAAAAAGAAAAAGAAAAACATTAATAATTACTATAATGTTTGAAACAAACTGATATAAAAATAATGTCCTGTAACATAATTGTAATTATTTGTTTAAGATAATAGTAATTAAAAAGAAAGAAATTAAGAATAATCACTTTGTTCATATGATTCTTCAAGTCAGACATTGAAAATGATATTGTCTGTTGTGAACGACGTGTAATGCCACAATTATTCTCTTCTTTTACAGTAGATTTGCAGTTCTTGAAACAAAAAAATTTTTTTTTCAATTCTAAAGATTAACTTTATATTTTATTAACTTCAATTACGTCCTTTCTGTTGAATAATCTGTTTCAATGCAACAAATATTGAAATATTAAACAAAAGAAATCATTTGTCTTATGATTGAAAAGTTATTGAAGTCAAATATTTGACAATTTTAACAATATACAAACAAAATTTAATTCAATTCATATAATATTTTTTCTTTTTTTAGTAAAAATATTATTATCATTATATTATTATTGTTATTATTATTATCATCAATGAATTTTATAAACAAAAATCAAAAATGAGCTCCAAGAAAAAACTCTTTACTTGATCATCTTTTATAGCTGTAACCAGTATATCATCATTATCATTATCATCATCACCATCACCATTATCATTATCATCATCATCATCGCTAAGATTCGGAAAATCAGGATCATCTTGAGATGTTATTATGGTATTCTCATCTTTTGATGCTCCAGCTACTACATTTCGTAATGAAGTTTCCCTGAAAAAGAAATTTAATAATATCAATTTGAAAGTAACATATATATATATATGAAAGCAAAAAAAAATTTTTTTTTCTTTCTCTTTCCTTTTTGCAATTTATCGTTAATTTTTTTTTTATCGCCTGTTATATGCCTATTAAATGATTGTAAAATATCATAGTATCATAGCCACAATGCAAACCACAAAAAGTACTTCAATTAATATCTAAATATTTTATTTCTAAAATATCAAATGAAATATTTCATTATATGAAACATTGATAGTAATTACTGAAAAGTGAAAGAATAAGTTAGCTAACATACCTATAATCAAAATTTTCTCTTTGATCAACTAGTGAAGATGATCCTTCTTCACTAGTAGCATAGCTATTGTCAGTATCTTCTTTAGAATTATGAGGTATCACTTTGAAAGCAAGATTTTCAAACAAATTTGGTGCAGGTCGTTTTTGAATAGAAGCTGATTTTTCAGTACAATCCTTTGGAACAGGCCGTTTTCTACTCTTTTCTACAGTTTCTGAAATAATTTTTCACAAATTTTCTACTTAATTTACTTAACGAATATTAAATGACAAATTCGAGTATATTTTCTTTCCAAATTTCTTAAGAAATTAAAAATGAATTACAAAAACCACTACAACACTTTGAATAATCACTTTAGAGTGATAATGCTATAGTTTCTGCTTTAATTATCATAGTGGTATTAATTATCAAATGAAATCTTGCAAAGTTAGGAATGTAATGCAGCGTAGTGCCTTAATTGGCTATCAAAGCTACTGTCAACAATCTAAAGAAACTTAGAATTTACCTTTTATGTTTAAAAGATCTATACTTGGTCCACGTGATTTATCTCTAGCAAAAGTGACATCTGTCAGCGAATCAGTGTTTTTTAACTCAAAAGATGATTCAAAATCTGATGTGCATATGTTAGATGAATCATCGTTATCATTTGATTGAGTTAATTGGATAAAGGAATCATCCATGCATCCTAAAATAAAATCAGATTAAATTGTTCCACCTGAAGATATTATTATAAGAGCAGTTTTTGCCAGTTGTAAAATATTTACTACCTTTGATAATTACTGCCTTCGTAAAAATTTCAAATTAATTCAAAAAACAAAATCAATCTTTTGCAAGATAAAATATACATTATAATTACTAGTGAGATTTTGTTAACTTTTGAGGACTAAGTTAATTACATCTAACATTCGACACAACGTGACAATATGGTCATATTTCAGTAAAATGATTTAAGATTAATCAAGAGTTAAAGGTTAATCAAGACAGAAACCATTTTATGATAGTTTATATATCGGCTGGATTACTTATAGTTAGATTGGCTTAATGCTGACTGATTAATGAATAATTTTTTCTCATATTTCGTAATGTATCTGAGAATGTTGCATTTTGACATTCTATAACACAACTAGTCCTAAAATAAAATGACTTTTTACAATGATTGTAAGTAAGTAAAAATTCTCAAAAAGAAAGGAGTAGAGTTAAAATTCCAATGAATTATACACATTTAATTTGATATTTAAACATAAGAAAATAGTATATATCTAAATATTATAGATTATTACCATTTGTCGATCGATTTGAAGTATTGACATGTCCCAGATGTGGAGCAAAAGTTGCCAGCAATGAAGCACGTAACAATGCGAACAATTCCTTTTCACGTTCGAAAAATACTGAACGTTTATCCGGTGCAACGTTCACATCAATACTTTCTAAAAATAAAAATTACTTCTTTTCAAACTATTATTTAGCATGCATAAAATCAACAAATGATATTGCAACTTTCTGCAAAATCCAGTACCAAATATTTGATACTAACTTTGATTGTTAACAAATTGTATAATAATATACAAATGTTCACTTTTAGAAATTTATAGCTACCACGAAAGTTTAACAAAAAGTCAATTTCTATCAAATCTTTTATCAAATCATTAAAAAACTAAAAATTGAAGTAATGTATTAGTTTATTGGTGCATACATATAGAAAGAATAAATAAAATTCTAGAAAAAAAAAAAAAAATCAAAAAATACATTGTCGAAGTACACTGTAATTGTTGAAATTAACAACAACAAATAATCTTAAACGACTTTCTCAAATATTTCAAAAAGATATCAAGAACAATCTCAAAAGTATTGCTACTTTAGTAATAACGAAAAAAAAAAAAAAAAAAAGTATACCAGGAGGAACATCAATAAAAAGAATAAGCATACAGTATTGACCACGATTGTACTGCTGATATACCTCATTTGCTATTCGACAAAGCTAAAAGTAAAAATTTCGATTATGCAAAGTTTCAAATTCCCATCTTCTCTTGAAATATTTCTTTAACAGAGTGATAAGCAGAATAAATGATGAAGAAAACGAATTAAAATGAACCAACTTTTGAGTAATCAACCGGTCTCTTGTTGAAATAAATAAACTGTCGATCAGCAGTACTTCGTCCTTGTCCATGTACACAAGAACTTATGTAACCAGTGATTCTATAATAGCTAGTAAAATTATCTACAACCACTTTATCATTTTAGAATTTTAAAATTTAAATGTTATATATATATATGTATTTGTAAATCAAACATACACTTCGAGAATTTAAATTATCACAGTTGTTAACATCACACTTGTCCTCTTATACATTCTCGTTAACATATTTAAATTGTATTCATTAATAAAGCATATAAATAAATTAATTTGAAAAAAAAAGTTCATTTATTTTACGATGCATATTATAAAAGTTTATAAAAGCAGTAATAACAGTATGTTTTAGTAATAAATTTATATTATAAGTAATAAACCAATATGATTTCACTTACTTAATGTCATCGAATTTTGATTGATCAGAGATTCCATAAAGACTACATATAGATTCATCTGGTTCTTGCTGAATAATATCGAGAATTGTACCTTTTTCAAAACGAGCACCAAAAAGACTCACAATGATATCTTTAATTGGTGCATTACCACCTGGTGTTACCAATGCTTGGTACTGTTTACTAAAATACTACCTTTTTTTTTCTTCGAATGAGAATACATATTATTTTTGAATTATTCAAATCACTTAACAACTATATATCATTTGGTAAAAAGTGAGAGAAAGATTAAATAATGTCATCTTTCCAATTTCAAATATTAGCACTCAAAATTATATAAAATTTTTAACTCAGTTATTATTCTAAACAATTATACACTTACCCATCCATTAAACTATTTACAACAAATCGTACATCTGTTCGAGATAAAGCAAACGATTGTACAACATTTAAAAGTTTAGTAAAAGCTTTTTTCACACTTCGCTCAAATTCTTTCCTTCTCACTGGTAATGTCTCAAACAAATTGTTAATTGATATCGTCGTACCAACCTAAAAAAATTGCAGCAAATAATCCGGAAATTTTAAAACATTTTTTTTTTTAAAAAAAATTAAAAAGACAATTTTAAGAAGAAATAAGTAACGCCGATTTATCTTATATAGCTTTACACTTTATCACATATTGTTTTATAATTGTTGGTTATGTGTTTGATATCCTCAGGTGTTTTTTTTTTTTGCATTTTTATAATCAAATTTAATTATGGTTTAAAACATAATGATTATTTTGTTTATTTGCTGTTTTATATTGATTTGTTATCTGTTTTTTTAATTATTTTAATTTAATTTATAAAATTTCTAATTTGTAATGAGGGGATAAATTTCAGCTTGTACCTTTTTTTATTCCATATTCTGTGTTATTTCATGTTCCTTGAGAAGATATTACGGAATAATTAGTGAAGAAAATAAAACCTACAGGTCTTGCACATTTTTCACGTGATTTTATAAATCCGTCGTGATCAAATTCTAGTTTTGTTGCCATAATTTCATCTGCATGTCTAGTTGTGATAGAGAGAGAACTAAAATTGAAAATAAAACTCCTTTTCAAATAAAATAAACTTTTGAAAATTTTTTTACAGCAACTAACTATGAACGAGTTATTGACTAGCTTATGACAAGTAAATATGAATAAAACAGTTACGAAAACAAAAAAGAAAAGAGCTATAAGAAATTGAACAGTTATGAATATTAATCAATACAAAGAAAAAAAAGCTAAGCAGAAGTCCTAGGATATTAAGCTCTCAACAATGGAATGCCTATAATTTATTAACACTTTTTAAATAGAGACAAAAAGTGACTAACCTTACGGCACACAATGAACTTAAAGCTTCACCACGGAAACCAAATGTTGTTAGCTGATTAAAATCTGCGAAATTAGTCAATTTCGATGTAGAATGTGGTTTACCTAAAAAATATGAAATAAGAAACCAAAAATTAATACAATGTTCGAATTAATCCTGAGACTTTGGAAAAATGAACTTCCTTCAAAAATGTGAAAGTATACATATATATATATATATATATATATATATATATCATACCTTCTTCTTCCTTATACATAAAACAATAGTTCTTTTATCATAAAAATTACCATATTTTAATTTGATGGTTATACAAGCTATTCAATTAGCATTTATCATACGTCGAATTTTTCACATTGTGCAACTCTTCTGATTTCAAGTTAAAAAAAAATTACATAAAGCATCGAAATTGAGCGAATGAATGCCAATACCATCATCGATTACTTCCATCCTTTCAAATCCCATCTTCCTAACTCGTACCTCTAAAACATTTGCACCCAGTCACTTTGCATCATTTACAGAAATTTCATTTTTCATTACAATCTCAGCATTTACAAGTTTCGAAATTAAATGTTTCACTGTGATTATATGTAATAAAGGTTAATAACAAAATAAAATATGGTACAGTTTATTATTCAGGCAGTAATTAACATATTTTTTAATATGTTAATTGCTGCTTGACTAGACACATCCTTAATCAAAGTTACAGTTCAGAAATTTTAATCAGAAATTAAAATATATCAGTCTTTATAAATTAAGGCAGTATTACAACAGCAGTAAACACTTCATGTCATGATGATTGCTTACTTCATTATTAACAATCATAAACAAACCGATAGTTTTAGCTTGAGCATCCAAAGAATTATCGATAAGTTCTTTACATGCACCTGCTAATGTGATAACCACTTGACCCGTACAAATTTTCCGACACACATCGATTGGAATAGCATGAATTTTTGCATGAACCATCTGACGATCGGCATTTTCCATCAGTTTAAAACTGTATGAATACAAGAGTCTAAGTTAATTTATAGTTTTTGATCATTTGTAAGATTTTTCTAACAATACACATTGTGCAATACGTAAGCAAATATGCTATGTCTAATGTTATACGTAAATAAATCATTGAGAAATACTTCAATTTTATTGTATCGTATCATTTTCAAAATTACATTTTTCAATTATGCTGTATCATAAATGCTGGAGACATAACCAAACAGATAATGTATCACATAATGGTACCTTTATAATACAAAAAAAAAAGAAAAAAAAAAATCAAACATACACTGAAATCTAAATTCACTGGCATCTTAGCTTGAATTTGAAAATTACATTTTTCATTTGTACATAAAAAAATAAACACTTTAAAGCAAAAAGGATATTACCAAATTATTCCTAAAAGAACAATTGCCGTTACAACTTCTCATATGTTAGTTTATATTCACATATTTTACATATTTTCCAATATTCATCCTTTTCCGAATCATATGTTTCATCACCATAAACATGATCATGAGCTTTACCATAACCGGATTTAAAAATTTTCGATCCATGTACCTGGAAATTATTAGATAAAATTGAAATATTAAAAAAAAATACTAGATAAGAATATTTGGTATAACTTTACAATAAGTATTAAGTAAGTTGCTTGAGAGAAATTCAACTACATTAAGATTTTGCTAACTTTATTATATATCAAATATTATTTTGAGGGAAAAAAAGTTTATAAAATCTAACTTGTTGTCTCATTTCTTTAATTTTTTTCTCAAATCGCTTTTCCAGTCGTGTTTCTTTTTGTACAGTACGTGCTTCCTTTATCTTTTCAAATTCTTCTTTTGATCCGTACACTTCCAAGCAACGTTGTTCCAACTGCAAATGCTCATGAAATCCGCTAACAAACGAAAACTATATACTTCATTAGCAGTAAATTATAAATATAAAATACTTCAAATATAATTCAAATAAAATACAACAAATTATAAATAGTTTGAGTTTACTCATACAGTATGTAAGAAGAAGTTTGTTTGAAGTTCACTGACTAATTTTTAATATTTTGGTTTAGGAAGTACAGCTTGTAAGACAGACTAACATATAAAGAAAAAAATCTTCAACTGATATAAAATAACTTTTTCAAGCATGTAAGAAACAGAGTATGTAAGAATTTACTTTTTGTTCATCATCAAATTTACCAGCTAAACCAAAATATTAAAAATTAGTCAGTGAACTTCAAACAAACTACTTCTTACATACTCTATGATCAGCTATATTAAACATTCTTACCTTATTTAGCTTCTTTTACAAATCTTATTCGTAAAATTTTTTAGACAATGAAAAAAAAAAAAGAAAAAAAAAACTTTAAAGTATACTTGTGCTTTTAGATACAGCTTCATATCACCATAACGAGGATTGTGTGGATTCTTTTTCGAAATAAATCTTAAAACTGGTTTGCGCAAATCAAGATCACAATCTTTCAACAAGTACTGATTTTTAGCTTCTGTCCGTGAAATCAATTTGTGAGCACCTTTACTATTTCTGAAACATTCCGTTTCAAACATAGGCCATTTTTTTGGAAAAGAAATCTATTTCAAAAATCATGGTACATGTTAACCTAGCCGTTTCCTGTATGCATAATCACCAGACAGATACCGGACTAATTCGTCACAGTTCCCCTTCTTATTTTGTGAAAACATTGTTCCATTTCTTCTTCTTATTATTATCAATTTTTTTTAAATGCAAAATATGGCCGACTTTCAGTATGGTAGTGCTTGTTAGTCGATGGCTGCAGTTTGTTGAAAAATATACTATGCTAAAAGTAGTGAATATCAAAGTTCATAGCTACGGATGAAAGTAACAACAGAACAAACCTGCATGTGTCACAAACAGGATAATTGAATTTCTCCCACAAATAAGAATTACACAGTGGCTTTTCACAATCGATACAATTATCTGGTGGTACCAGAGGACCTGAATTAGCCGCTGCTTCATTTGCACCTGTAATTACAGCCAGATTTCTATACCATTTAAACATAAGCAGATCCCTTTAATTTTTTCTAATATTCATTGACTTCCCGAATTTGCTTCTCGAAGTCAGCTAAATTTTACGTTTCTGACGTGCTTCCGCTATTCTTTCCCGTACTCTTCCATATTCGTCATCATCATCCATAAATCCACCAGCTTGTTCATAACTTTCTTGTGTTTTTCTATAAATAATTTTTTGAAAAAATCAAATTTCATTCTTTATTTCTTTGAAAAAAAAAAAAAAAAAAAGTTTCACAGCACGCAAAAATCAGTCCATATATAAATGAGCCTTACTTCTACACAAAACCTTTATTTTGTTTAATTTAAGCACAAATTCTAAAATCACAAAAGTTTATAATCAGTTAATTCATTACAAAATTTTCTTCCAATTGAAATAAATGGAATAACGGATTCTAATTTTGCATTTAACATATTACTATTCATTTCGATGTATATAAATCTTTTTATACTCCAAGCAATAACAATAGCCACAAAAATATTTGTTTATCACATTAAAATAAAAATTTGCTTTCAGTTGTAGTCTTGCGACTATTATTACCTTAATTATATCAGAATATTATCATTTTAGAAATCTCGTAAATACCTGTAAAGCTTTTCCACGTATGGAATATGACCATCACCATTATTAATATGACCATCCAATCGTTGACGTTTCATTTCTTAAAATGCAGAAAAAGGAATACTATTATAAATAATATTTTAAATAAATGATATTATTAATGTCGAATTTGTTCAGGTCATAATATTTTTCGAATTTGTTCAGGTCATAATATTTTTCGAATTTGTTCAGGTCATAATATTTTTCCTAACAATCGCATATTTATTTTTGTTCTTCATTCTATGATTGCTTGATAAAACTTATCGAAACTCATAATAAAACAGCTGAATAGATGAAATTAAATAATGATTTTAGCTATCCAGCTGTCTTGTTATGAATTACTGATATTTTATTGGAAAACAAACATAGCAGAAGAGTAGGTAGTAATGGAACGTTATCAAAAAATAATCGCGCTAACATTCATTAGAATGATGAAAAACGAAATATTCAAGAGAATGTATCATAATTCATAATTCGATTGTTAACTGCATAAAGAGAGTAACAAAGAATGAATAAATAAAAAAGTAAAATAAAACAAATAAATAAAATAAATAAATAAAGAAATAAATAGAACAAATAAATAAAATAAAAAAATAAAACGAATAAAATAAAATAAAAAAATAAATGGACAAGTAAATAAAATTAATGAATGATAAAATAAATGAAATCAATGAAAAGAAAAAACGAAACTTTTGTATGAAATAACCATTAAATTATATGATTTGGAACATTTTTTAAGTTTTTTCTTGAAAATATTTACTAAACTTTTGTTTATTTTTTTTTATACTTACTAAACTTTTATTTGAAAATTCCAAGAATTGATAGTTCGTTAACATTTTTAAAAACGAGAAATTTCGTTTCAGCTACGGTCGCTTAAACGTTGGTATTTGATGGATGGCCGCTTTTTATTTTCTAATGTTCTTTTGGGGAAGTGTTTGGGGAAATGTGGTTTAATTCGGGTAGGATTCGAGTAGAATTCGTGTTACAGGAAGTGATGGTATACATTTGACTTCAATTACCGATTTCATATCAATAAAAAGATTAACTATATTTTTATTTTAACCAAAAAAGCAAGCACTCGTTTTATAAATAAAATTAAGTAAATGTAAAAAAAAAAAATTAAAAAAATCAAGTAAATGTATGCGTGTTCTAGGAATAATGATAAGTAAGCGTAAAAGGAAAAAAATGGCAAAGTATTAGAAAGAAGAAAAAAGAAACTGATTGGTTTAAAGTTTATAATATGATTAATTGTGCATGAATTTAATGTTTTGTACGATTTCAACTTATCATTTATGAAATTCAACTTTTAATTCTTCTTTTTTTTTCCCCTTTAAAAGATTTGTTTACAAGAAAAAAAAGAAAAAAGATGTCATCACGATTTGGTCCTCGAGCTGTGGGTACAGATGGGACAGACTTCAAGCATCGACAACGAATTGCTGCACACTATCATTATAGGTATTATTACATTTAAAAATGTATATTGTCATTTTGAGCTATCTATTTGCAAGCAAAGAAAAAATAAATAGATAAACACGGAGAGAATAAAAATGATGAAATCTTAGAAGTTATAGTTAAATGCGAAATTAAATTTTAGCAGGAAAATTGCTAGACGTTTTTTATGAAATTAATTTCTAATTGCTTGACGGAAGTTGTTATATGTTTAATTGCAAAAGCATAGATAAAGCATTATTTTTGCAAGCAATATTAATTCCATTATGATTGGATACAGTTCTTAGCTACTGTTCTCTTTTAACAATTTAAAAAGTTATTACTGCTTTAAAAAATGAAAGTAAAATAGGATTGAGGTAATCAAATTAATAAATTATTTATAAAGTTATATGTAAAATTTTATAAAAATATTTGTAAAAATAAGAAAAAAAATTATAAAATGTTTTATTATAGTGCGCAGTATAAAATGTATTTGAAATTGTTGTTCGGACTTCATTTCCTAGTGCTACTCACAATGTGGGTTAAAGTTGGCGGCGAAGTACTTGTTGAAGAATTCGGCATACGGTGGCGGTTTTATCAAACTCTTCAATTGCCCAGTGCCTACCCATGGGAATATGTCTGGTGTTTCTCATTCATCCCATCAATATTTGCTATGATGTCGTTTAAACGAAATAAGGTCAGTATTGCATCTCTAAGAAAGATTTGTTAGCAAAGTATTGTAGCAAAAGTGATATTTTAAAGCAAAAAATTTTTTAAATATGAAAATAGAGCATTAGAATTATTTTATACTTTCGTATGGCAGTTTTATTACAGTGCTCATTTATGCAATACATAGCTGATTTTGCAATATTTTTATTTGATGTACAAATAAATCTTCCACTCTAATCGATGATAATATTTAGTTAGTGTTTAATCTATCGTTTTTTGTTTTTTGTTTTTTTGTTTAAAGGCTTATAAGTTTGTATGTAATAATTTGCAGTCAAATTTGTTACGTAATCATTACTATGGACAGTTTATTATGGGAATTTTACCGTGTGCAATAGGTATTGGTGGACAATTACCAGAACTTTTTGATTATTTGCGTGACATGAAAAATAGTCAAACACCAACATTTCGTGGAACTTTTCCAATGGTTATTATTTGGTATATTTTTTTCTTGATTGCCGTGCAGATACATATTTTTGCCATGTATTTCTCGTATCATTTGATATCAGCTTGGCAACCACCAAAGAAGAAAGAATAGTCTATGATTAGATATTTCATTTCTTTTAATTATTGGAATGAAATATGTTGATACCTGAGTTTTAATATTTTCTATTGGTCTACTGAATCATCCCGTAAATTATCTTCAGCTAATGGATATGCTATTGTTTTTTTTTATGCAGATATGCTGTACTTAGTTACCTGAATCATAGCTAATTGCTGATATATTACATCTCGAACAAATGAAATTTGAGGAACAGTTTAAATGCAAAATGAGCAATCGAATAGCTTATTCAAAAATATAATCTTGAATAGAAGTTTAAAGTCGATAATTTTCAAGTTCTGAAAGCTAAGCTCATTATTTATTCGCAGTTAACTAAATGGACGAATTTCAATCCTAAACTAATTGCATCAACCGAAGCATAAATCATGTAGGAGTGTTGCATTGAAACAGTTTAGTTTCTCTTTTTACTGTTTTTTTTTTTTTTTTTCTCTAATTTGGTTTATTTATTTATTTTTCCTTTATGAGTTAAACAGTTTAATTTTTTTTTTCTTTTCTTTCTTTTGATTCAAAATGAAACTTTTCCGTGATAATTTTTGGGTCACACGTTGTTGTTATTAAATTTACTTTTTATGTCAATTGATGATCATCTAACTATTTGATGATGGTTGTTACACTTTCAAACTTTTAGTTCTCCAATTTCAATTCACTAGAAACGTGTTTTTTTTTTTTACTTTTATTAGCTCAACTCAAGATCATTCTCATTATTTGTTAATCTATCCGTTTTTTTCCTAATTATACAGCTTTCCTTTTGAGGTTTTAAGTTTAATAAAATAAAATATATAACTTTGCTACCAGTGTAGCAGAAATGCAGTAGATCACTTTGAACTTGACAAATTTCCATGTATTTTTATAAATCCGTTTCAATATTTTGTTTTTCTTGCTTCTTTTGCTTCTGCTGTCTTAAATTATTTTGAAAAATATTTGCAACTGCATGTATGAGCCATTCATTCCGAGATTTTTGGAATGACGCAGATTATATTTATCAGATTATGTTATGTGTTTTGATGTTCTATAATTTTGTTATCGTTCAATATTGCTTTATTGTATTTTTAATTATTATTGTTCAACAGAAATAATCTAGTATAAATTTTCTAGCTATCATTATTTATCAGATGATTACTGGCAATGAAAAAGATACAGTCCTATTCAGTCTATAGCAAGCAACAGTATGCTGGTAATTTTATATGACTTAAAGATTTACGAATATGAGATGAAAAGGAAGAAATAAATTAATGGAATGATTTAAATTTAAATGAATCGAATTAAGTGAAAGTGGTAAGCAGCTGATATCTAGCTTGTTAGTATCAAAAAAAAAAAAAAAGAAAAAAAGTGACTCAAACAAAGGATGTAACAAGCCGTATAGCGTATGATTGCATAAGTAAACCTATGAGAAGTAAACAGCTATCAGATGACCTTTGCTCTTTTAGAAATTAGTTTTGCTTATAACAATGGCTATTAGATAAGAAAATAAACAGATTTAATTTGGAACAAAGAAGTGATTTTTAACATAAAAAACAATACCCACACCCTTGATTGAAAAATTCTAGACAAGTTGAAATGATTGAAAATTTCTAGACAAGCAGATAAACTCAGCTACAATTGAAAGATGAATGTTGGATAAGTATAATTGCTTACATGAGATGTAATTGTGAAACAATTTCATATTTCGTTAAAAAAATATTCAATTAAAATAATCTTTAGTCTTAATGAGTGAGTTAATTACAGTGTTATTTTGATATGTTATAAATTGGTTTTTTCTTTTTCGGACAAATCTTTTATGATCAAATGAAGTGAACTCGTTGCTATTCATATCACTTTCAATTGATAATGTTATCAATCAATAATTTAATTTCCATTTAATTTTCACTTGTTACCCTGTACATTTCATTCGTGTAATTTTGATTAGCAATATCAAAAGTCGAGAATAATTGCTAAAACATTAAACTTTTTAACTTCATATAAGTATTAGTAATGCTTTAGCCATGAAGCTCAATTCAACAAATAAAAGTTGTAATGAAATATGCTTCAAAGTTTTGTCTATTGTAATTCAAATTTTGGTGCTGAAAACTGAGTTTTTATAATTTGTTGTAAAATTTTGTGCAAAAGTAATACCTTTTGAAAAAAAAATATTTTCGATTTTTAATTTCAAAAAGAAAAAAATGACAAGTTTTTGAAAGGTAAATAAATGGAATTTGTTAATGATTATGCTAGGATTAAACAATGCTAAGAATAAATTCATTAAATCCATTTATTAGATTAAACTACATTTAACTAAACAAATTTCAGTGCTACTAATTCGAAACAATTGATTTAAAAATTTTGGACAACTTAATTAATTAGCTTTGTTTATTTGTTTCTCAAACTATTTAGATCAAATTGGTTCAGTCATCAATCGATCTGTGCATGATCTTTGAACCAGTTAACCATTAGCTTTGGGAAATTTCTAGTTTTCAGATAAATCTTTAAAAAAAAAAAATTTAGTTTGGGGAATTCTTAATTTTTAAGTATCATTTTTATTGCTCAATTTGTACTTACTGCAGCTATTGCATCACATTTTGCATAATATAATTCAAAAATGATTTGAATATAGAAAAAAGAAAAGAAATCAGAATATTTCCAATTTGATATTTATTATTTCGTTTCCTTTTTTCCTTTTTTCTTTTTTTTATTTTTGTTTTTTTTTTTTGTTACTGTTTTTTTCCTTTTCAGTTTACAAAAGTATTCTTTTAAAATGTGATCATAAAAATTTCAATATTCTTGAAGTAAATAATAGGTTAATGTTTGAATGAATACTTAAATTTTTGTGGTCAATGACAGAAAATAAATTTTCGAATTGAAAGAAAAAAAAAATAAAAATTGACAATCTACAATATCATAAAATATTTCAATACTAATTTTTATAGTAATATTCCAAATGACTTGTTTTATATAATCTAAAATGAAACTACATCATAAATATTAATAAAATTTTACCAAAAAAAGAAAATTTTAATTTCTAAATTGTAAATTTTTTAAAAAATATTATGTAAATTGAAAATGATTAAAGGAATTCAAATGCATCTATCAAATTTTTGTTGAATTCATTTTAATCATATGTATATCATTTTTTTTTTTTTAAATTTAGCATCAATTAAATTCATTAAACTGATTCAATTCAATTGCATTAAAGTCGTTAGCTTTATTTTCTCATTGAAATTTATTTTGATTATTCATTTCTGATATAATTTAAATATTAAATATTCATTCAACTGCTCTTCGTTATCAATCGATTAATGTATTATCAATCGATTAATGTATGTTGCAATAAATATTATCCATTCACAGTCGCCAAATAAAATCTTTAATCAAAAAAATTGTTAAGTTTAATATTCATTTTTTTTAAATTCATTTTATTTTAAATTCAATTTTTTAAAATGTAAATTTATATTATTTAAAATTTCATATTTTCCTTAATTAGTACCTAATTAAGCATCATTTCTTTGGTTCTTTTCAGAATAATTCTTTTTTTCCTTTTTTTTTTTTCATTTTTAAAAGCGAAATATGATTCAATTTTATTTTAAATTGAATTCCATCGCCAATAGTCTGTTAACAGATAATTGAATCATTAATTTTTATAAAAGTGATTGCATCTGTTTTTGCTTTACACACTTGCTAATTATTAATTAAAAATGCAATTTTTTTTCTTTTTTTTTTTTGTGGAACAACATTAACAAATTTAACTTAAATATTTGTCATTTGTCGTATCAATTAAAATGATAATTTGAAATGAAATTAAATTAAAACTTTTCCTGTAAAAATTGTACTTTCCAAAATGAAAAGTTGAAATTTTGTTGTTTAAAAGATAGACATTGTTAATAAAAGAGAAAAAAATGTTTAATTCAATAGAATGTGAACAAAAAAACAAAAAAAAAAAAAAAAACGAACAAATGCATGTGAAAATTAATGCTGAAATTAAAATTATTTTAAATGGGAATGAAGGGATTTAAATGATCATAAAGAATTCACAGAATGAGAAATTAAATTGTGCTTAATTTTATAAATGTCTCTAAAATTTTCATTGTCTACTGAATGAATGGAAAACACAAATTTTTAAAACTTTCATTTAGTCATTTTTTTTTTTATCCATTATTGATTTTTTATTATTTATCACTTATTATAATAATTATTATTATTATACAACTATTATTATTGTCATTATTATTATTATTATTATGCAACTATTATTATTTTCATTATTATTATTATACAACTATTATTATTGTCATTGTTATTATTATTATACAACTATTATTATTATTACTAATATTCGATAAAGGAAAATGTATATCAAAAGCGAAGCTATTATAATTTATTAATTATTTTTGACTCAAATGATATTTCGCTATCATTTCACTAATGTTTAATTCATACTAACTTTCTATTCATGTGTTATTCCTGAATGATATAATTGTAAAATAAAAATGGCTGATATAATTATTTTCCTACGTCAAAATAATTTCAACTTTATGTTGTTTAATTAAAAGTTGTTTGTAATTGATATCACTATTGATAAGAATTTTTATCACTGCCATCTTTCTTTATGTTAAAATAGTAAATGATAGCAATTATAGGTCATAATTTAATTTTAAATTTTATATTGAAATAAAAGAAAAAAAAAATGAAAAAATGATAAATGCGTTTCCATTGAATGAATTATTACAACCAATGAGAAAAAAAAAAAAAAAAATTTACCATTCATAATTAATTAAATGATTTCGTTTTTTTTTTTTCCTTTTTTCACTTTTCTCCTTGATTTCTTTTCATTTTTATCATTTGAAAAGAAAAATGTTCAAAATCAAATTGCTAAATGTTTTCGAGTAGTTTTCAATTTTTTTTTTTTCTAATTGTTCATTTTACTTTATTTTAATTTAGTAAATAGTTTTTCGTTTTAACTTTATTAAAAAAAAAAAAAATTGCTAAAACAAGGAAAAAATGTA